GCGAGGAATAAGGGGAAGGAACAGAACCCTATCCCAATAAAGGAGCCCGTTTTCAATAAGCAGCCCAGTTTATTCCTCAACAAGTAAAATTCAAAAAAGCAAAAAGAAAGCTACGCACACACAAGAACGCAGTGCGGACCTATTTTTTACTACTGAGCTTGCGTCGTTCTCAGAGCACTCTGGGCTCGCTTTGATGCATGTCACAACTATCTTGAGAGAGATTGACGCCAGAGTACCTGCTTGTATCCAAGTTAAAAGTTTCGTCCACATGTGCCATTATTTCAGCGTTATCTGAGTTCTTTTTTGCTTCATTTGAGTTTGTTTGTGTTTCATATAAGTTATCTTTGAGTTCTCGAAGCGACCCTGGCCGAAACTGACGCTCACCATCTTTTAGTTGAAGGTCTATCACGAATTGCGTGTGCGTTTGTGTGCGCTTTGAGCGTCTTGAAACGAAAGAAATCCATTGAATATTTATGTAACCAGAAGGGAAGCGACGTTGTCACACATTAGAATCTCACGTGCTGATTTTGAAAACAGGACCTCTCATTGCCATTAAAACGACCTCGAGCAAACAAACGCGCTCTTTCTTCGTGAGAAAAGAAATCAAAGCGCTGGTAATTTTCCGAACGCTATTTGCATACGGTCGCCTGAATCATAGTCTCCTCTACTAGCTATGCCTGAATCGATTAGAACACATGGATGCTCTCGAATATTGTTTTCTATTACTCTGAACAGTTTATTGCGAATGTTACCCCAAGTTTTCTACGAGCCGTACAGTTCTCATTCGGCTTGCTATGTATGGCTTTGCCCGTTCTTAATGCTAGTTTCTTAAGACGGTGCTGTCTGATCTGGAAGCGTAAACAACATAAATTTGGGACATTTGGTCAGATCAAGTTAGTTGCAGGGTAAATAATACGTCATTCCTCAAGCGTTCGAAACGCTTGTTCAGGCTTAAATCTTTCAAATCGAAGCAATGCGAAAATTGATTAAGCTCAAAACAACGAAATCCAAGTCTACAATAACTAAACAAGAGGTTATTTCGATGGTTCTTTATTTAATATACTCCTTCAAATTTTCTTTGCACACGTAGTCCACCTAACGTGCGCTACAAAAAAAAAANATTTTGAAAACAGGACCTCTCATTGCCATTAAAACGACCTCGAGCAAACAAACGCGCTCTTTCTTCGTGAGAAAAGAAATCAAAGCGCTGGTAATTTTCCGAACGCTATTTGCATACGGTTGCCTGAATCATAGTCTCCTCTACTAACTATGCCTGAATCGATTAGAACACATGGATGCTCTCGAATATTGTTTTCTATTATTCTGAACAGTTTATTGCGAGCCGTACCGAGCCGAGCCATGTTTTCTACGAGCCGAACAGTTCTCATTCGGCTTGCTATGTATGTCTTTGCTCGTTCTTAATGCTAGTTTCTTAAGACGCTGCTGTCTGATCTGGAAGCGTAAACAACATAAATTTGGGACATTTGGTCAGATCCAGTTAGTTGCAGGGTAAACAATAAGTCATTCCTCAAGCGTTCGAAACGCTTGTTCCGACTTAAATCTTTCAAATCGAAGCAATGCGAAAATTGATTAAGCTCAAAACAACGAAATCCAAGTTTACAATAACTAAACTCCTTCAAATTTTCTTTGCACACGTAGTCCACCTAACGTGCGCTACAAAAAAAAAACTGAATATGTTGCGCTGTGTTCTAAGGGCGGCGAAATACAAGAAACAAAAACCCGTATCTCGTATATCGTTGCTTAAAAGGCGGCGACGATATATTCGATCCAAAAACTCTCAACTTGGCTGATGTTTCGAGTTTCTCACCTTGCGTGATCCGGCAACTTGTT